GGGGTAAAAGTCCTCATGGAGGACCAAAGAAGTTGATGTTGATCATGTTGATCATGAATGAACACATGATCAATTTCAACACGTTTCACAAAACATAAATGTTATTATTCAATGATCAATTTGATCAATTTCTTAGAAAAACGTTATAACTTGTTCAGTACAACAGAAAATAAAAGTCTTAATAACAGCAAGACTTTTAAAACATCCTGTATAAGCAGAGGATGAAGATCTCTGACCACTGTCCATGACATCAATTTGTAAGTCGCTCTGGATAAGAGCGTCTGCTAAATGACTTAAATGTTAAATGTAAAATTAATGTTAGACCAACATGGTCCATTGACTTTGTCTGAGATTGGACCTCCAGTCTGTAGGACTCTACCAGGGCCTCCAGCGAGCGCTGTTGACTGGACTCTTCTCTTTGCTGATGCTGTGCTGGGCTGGGGAGCTCAACTGAGGCAGGTCACTCTCCCTTCTGTTCTTATCAGAGGATGGCTGCAGGCTCTGGAAATGGCTCAGCAGTCTCTGGGTCTGTGTCTTAACCTCATCCTTGGACAGGAAATGCACAGTTTCTTGGACACACCTGGATTAACCCTGATTGACAGCTGCTGAGCAGGAGCCCACTGGCTGGTTCTGTTGCTGTCGTCTCAGCAAGCAAACTGTCATCTCCAGGATGTCGGCTTTCTCCAGCTTGGAGTCTGACTGCTGGTTGAGGATCTCTTGACCCAGGAGAAACTTGAGCTGCTCAATGCTGCTGTTGATACGATCTGTGCGTAACTTCTCCATCACTGGCTTTGTTAGCTACAAGAAGAGGAGAGTCATTAATAATCTTATTCTGAAATATGGCATTATTGAAACAAATAAATAATCAATCAAATTAGATTAATTTCCTTGAAATTGATTCTTCAATTTATCTTGTCAGAGTCAGGTGCTCGTTAGAGTAGATCACTGCTGAAGTTATTGTAGGTGCCATGGCTGGATCTCTGTGCTGTAGAGGTTTCTGTGTAGAGTGAATCTGATTCCTACTGGCTTCATCTCTCTTATATATAGTCCATAATCTACATATGAATGTGTGGGTCTTGGGCTTGTTGGAGTTTCTCACAGTCTGTAGCCAATGTGTGAGTTTGGGAGGACAGTGAGTAATGTGGAGGTGCCAAATGCTCAGTGTTCTTATTTCTGGGGGACAATTGTCACATCTCAGGGAACAGGTGGAGTGATGGGGTGTGATGGAGATTGTCTCACAGAGCGCTGTGTGAATCTGGGAAACTGGTGACCCCCAGATCTGCTGCCTGATGTTGGGATCAATGATACTGAGAGAGCACACACACATCATCACAACTTACATGTGTGAGACTGACACAGAACCTCTACATTAAATGTACAGTGTAACTTCGTCCCCACCTATGAGGACATTGTTGAATGTATAGTGTTTCAATGCTTTATTACTGATTCAGTCACATCTTATTATTATTTATGTTATTTAGTCTCCCGAGTGGCGCAGTGGTCTAAGGCACTGCATCGCAGTGCTAGCTGTGCCACTAGAGATCCTGGCTCGAATCCAGGCTCTGCTGTAGCCGGCCGCAACCGGGAGACCAATGGGGCGGCGCACAATTCGTCCAGGGTAGGGGAGGGAATGGCCGGCAGGGAGGTAGCTCAGTTGGTAAAGCATGGCGTTTGCAACGCCAGGGTTGTGGGTTCGATTCCCACGGGGGGCCAGTATAAAAAAGAATAATGTGTGCACTAACTGTAAGTCGCTCTGGATAAGAGCGTCTGCTAAATAATGTAAATGTAATTATCTCACAATTGATGTGACCGCTGACAAAAATGATATTGTATATAGTTTTACATTTTGTCATTGATGAAAAGGAACAAATACTTATACTTTTCTGTCGTGCTGAATCTAATTTGTATTCTATTGTATTCTATATTATTTATTGAGTCAAATATGACGACTCTCTAATATAGTAAGTAAGTGGATATCCAGAGAGATATAGCTTGTTGTTCAGTTCACAGGTTAGATATTGTATCAATATCATGAGGTCTCGAAGGTCAGTAGTAGTAATTACATGGTCAAGCACTCTGGAGTCCAGAGGTAGCAGATGTGTCCTCTGTCTTAGGGCTACTGGTCCGTGTGAGTAGAGAGCTGATCTGAGTTTCCCACACTAAGTCCTGTGTGCTGTGATCAATGCACTACAAAAGCTGCTCAGTGGACCATTAGTGATGGCTATTGGCTCTGTGTTGTACTATAGACAGAGTATGACATCACAGACCATCTGGATTCTGGAGGGAAACATCAGCACACTTGATTTTATCCTAAAAGTGTGCTGCAAAACATATACTGTGTCTGTGTTCATTTCTACATTATGTAATTTAATTGATTTTTGATTTTATTTGTATGTTAATGTTCAACTTGTTTACATTCAGATTGTGATTTTGGAGAAACTTAATATTGAAATTAAAAAGTTTAAAACAAGTATGCAGAGTTTCACACAAATGATGTTTTAGATATAATATAATGTCTTGATTCAGCTTCCACCCCATAGGAATACAGTAGAGAAGGAGAAAGAAAGATACGTTTATACCCTGGAGAAACTGATGTATTCAGCTATTGTTTAATTCCCTTCTATAAGTGTGCCTATTCCCGAGTGGTTCTGGGTGTTTCCCAGACAGACAGGTGCTGATGGGACTGATGATGATGATGACACTAGACTGAGACTCTGCTCTCCAGAGCTTTCCCACACTCCATTGACAGAGCTTCCACTAAACAACATAACTGTGCCTTGTTAAATGCTAATTCATCTCGACACAAGCAGTTCCCATCAAGCCCCTGGGGGAAATGTAAAAAAAAAAAATCAGACATACATCAATTAAGAAGGTAGTAAATACAAACATTTTGACTATTGGATGATATAGACTTGTACAGTATATGGCCATTCAGAGATAGTCAAGATTGGACTGAATACAGAAAATATTTCAAGCATATACGTTTTAGATAGAAGATTTATCATCTTTGATTCTACAATTTGATCGTTTTGAATAAAGTGTTATATGTCTTTCCTGATCTGTTACCTAATTCCTCTTACACCCTGTCATAATAAAAAAACACTTGTGCAATCCTTACAATTCATTGTCTAATTTCAACTGATGAAGATAAGGTTAACCACGGTCACATAGCCCCTGCTTCCACAGCCCTGGTTGCAATATGTGAAACATTAAAACGCTGCTACCTATTCATGATTATTTTGCATTTTGATGTAAACTCTTAGAATTAGTTTTGCAATCTAGAACCAAAAAGGGTTCTTCTTCTTACCCCTCATCATACAGGGTCCAGAGGTCTGAGTATATTGTCCCAAAGGGGGTCTGTGAGTGAGTTTTCCTTGGTTTCCCACACTCTCTCCATTCACTGCTCTCAATGGAGGAACAATAGAAGTGTGCCTTATTATAATGCATCATGTTAGGTATTCAGTTCAGTCTGGTGCCTATGAAACCATTATATATGCTTCAATTACCAAAGAAGCATCCGGTCCTAGAGAAGGTTCCCTGAAAAACTAGGATTGAGTAAATAATTAGAGTTAAAGAATAGTGAGAACTATAGAATAGCACTTGTCTTGGTTCTGACCTACATTTGATTAATGATATAAAAGTGACATGTTGATTTAAACCACAACCTTAACCATAACCCTAACCGTAATCCTAACCCTAGTTTAATGTCCACACCCCGGCTGAAACCTAACCATAACGTTAACGCTAACCCTATCTCTTGCTTCATGTCCACACCCCGGCTCAACCCTAACCCTATCTCTAGCTTAATGTCCACACCCCGGCTCAACCCTAACCATAACCCTAATCCTAACTCTAACTCTAGCTTCATGTCCACACCATGGGTCTTTTCCTCTTAGACATTTAAAAGCATCACTATTTCTGTTCCTGCTCAAAACTGGGACCACTGTAGATTACTTGATTGTGATGCAATATTTCAACTTCCAACACTTCATAACAAATCATTGTAATAGTAAGTATGACCTCATACAGTAGATCTGTGTTGTAGGCCACAGTCAATATGTTGATGACAGGAGGAAAGATCAAGGACAATAACAAATGATTACATTTCATTATTTTGGGATTTATTGACATTGACTCAGAGTCACATCATAGATTTGAACACCTAAATATAAGGTGAATACTTTAGGTGATTACACATCAAAACCACAACTTGGATCAATCTCCAAGACATATGATACTCTAACAGAGCATAGGATACACAGTTACTGTCTTTATAAAAGACAACATATTGTTTAAAATAAACAAAGGTTTCACATTGAGAGAAAACATTTTCTCCCCTTTACAATATACACATTATTCAAATAATGTGAGCAACATTTTCACACATAAAGTCTGATCTAAAAACAGATCAATTATTTCTAATCACAGAGTGATGATAACAGGTATAATACCCAGTTTGGGTAAATAATCCTCATGGAGGATCAGTGATGATGTAGCTCAAGTTGATCAATAACAAATGCCTAACTAATACTGATACATACTTCACAGAAGATGCTCAATATAATGTCAATATGATCACATCACTACAAAAATGTAGTGTAACAACATTTCTAATTCTTGAATACGTACTGACCTTTAAACAGATTGGTAATCGATAATCACAAAAAGATTGACAATGAAATACCCATTTTGGATTTAAGGTCCTCATGGAGGACCATTGAAGTTGATGCTGATCATTAATAAGCACATGTTCAACATAATGAACACATGCTTCACAAACATAAATGTTATTAACATTTCAGAAACGCAATGTTCATAGTTTCATCGTTTTCTTGGTCAAAACTATTTTACTTGTTCAGTACAACTATAATGACAAATTTCGATCAAAACAGGACTTTTAAAACATCCTGCGTGATCTATGATCACTGTCCATGACATTAATGTTAGACCAACATGGTCCATTGAATTTATCTGAGAGTGGACCTCCAGTCTGTAGGACTCTACCAGGGCCTCCAGAGAGCGCTGTTGACTGGACTCTTCTCTTTGCTGATGCTGTGCTGGGCTGGGGAGCTCAACTGAGGCAGGTCACTCTCCCTCCTGTTCTTATCAGAGGATGGCTGCAGGCTCTGGAAGTGGCTCAGCAGTCTTCTCTGGGACTGTGTCTTCACCTCATCCTTGGACAGGAAGTGCACAATCTCTTGGACACACCTGGAGTAACACTCATTGACACCTGCTGAGCAGGAGGAGGCACTCACTGGCTGGTACTGTTGCTGTTGTCTCAGCAAGCAAACTGTCATCTCCAGGATGTCGGCTTTCTCCAGTTTGAAATCTGGCTGTTGGGTGAGGATCTCTGGATCCAGGAGAGACTTGAGCTGCTCAATGCTGTTGTTGATACGATCTCTGCGTAACTTTTCAACCACTGGCTTTCTTAGCTGCAAGAAGAGAAGAGGAGAGTCATTAATAATCTTATTCTGAATACAACAGAGCTGACATGAATCGCTGTATTCTAGAAGCAAATACTGAAACAATGTGACACTATTTGTAACTCAATTTACCTTGTTGGTCAGAGTCCAGTGCTCATTACAGTAGATCATAGCTGAAGTGATTGCAGGTGCCATGGCTGGATCTCTGTGCTGTAGAGGTCTCTGTATAGGGTGAATCTGATTCGTACTGGCTTCAACTCTCCTATATATAGTCCATAATCTGCATATGAATGTGTGGGTCTTGGGCTTGTTGGAGTTTCTCACAGTCTGTAGCCAATGGGTGAGCTTGGGAGGACAATGAGGAATGTGGAAGCTGCCACATGCTCAGTGTTCTTATTTCTGGGGGACAATGGTCATGTCTCAGGGAACAGGTGGAAAGGTGGGGGTGATGGAGAGAGACTCACAGAGCGCTGTGTGAATCTGGGAAACTGGTGACCCCCAGATCTGCTGCCTGATGTTGGGATCAAAGATACTGACAGAGCGTACGCTCATCATCACAACTTACACGTGTGAGACTATCACAGGTTTCTAAAATGCATAGGAAAACACAACATTATAAAATGCTGGTATTCTACTCAAATTGTAAAGATTGGAGTCGTTTCAGACTGATCTGTCTCTAGCAGATGAGCTCGCAGGTAATGTGACTCCATCAGAGTGTATCAGCTGTGAGGTGATGATGACCTCCTGCCTGTCTGTCTACTCGCTCAAGTTTCCCAGGAGCCCCAGGCAGCACACTTCCCTCCTCTGAGCTCCACAGCACAGCTGGCTCCTTGCACAACGCTGAGCGTGCCCCAGTCGCACGCCCTCCTCTCTCTGGAGCTGGGAGCCACAGGGACACATGGCTTCCCACACTTCTGAATGCAGCCTGCTGAGCCCCGAGACATAATGGAAGTGTGTCTGCTCTCACAAAGACCCACTGGCTGTTCCCATGCACATCCAGCCATGCTGGGAGAGAGACTGGTTTATAGGGCAGTCTAGTACCAAACGACAAACCATCTGTATCACTGATAACTCAGTTTGGGAACACTTTACAGAATTGCACAATATTCTTTGCTGTATTTTTACCAAATACATTTTTAAATATATATTGAAGAGAAAGTTTACAAATGTACCATTTTATGGATCTCCGACAAGTTGCTTATGTATCTGGACCATCAGCAAATAGGATTGATTAGGTGATCTAGTAGACTCTTGCCATGACCAAGTTCCTGTAAAAAGGCCATATCAGAAATATGGCTAGTACACACATGGGATCTATTGCAATGATAGTTAGCTACTGTCGGATGAGAAAGACTTGTGATCCTAGCATATGTCACATTTGCATTTTGTTGATTTGTGTCACAACTTGACACGGGAAAATTATTTTTCGGAGTACACATGGGTATAGAGACGTTCCCAGGGACTAACGTGGCCAACCTCTTTTGCATATGGCATAAAGAACAACATCCCACCTGTCCTGTGAGGAATCAGCTATTATTCCCACTGACTATTGACCCACCATCTGAGCCCTCTGATTGGCTGCAGAGCATGAGACAGCGCAAGAGTAGGCACATAAATACAGAGTGGAGATGCAGAGCTCACTATCGAATACTCTCTTAGCGTCAGCTGAGCCAAGACCAGCAGAAAAACAGCAGAACAGAGGAGCTATCAGGACACAAACTCTAGACCACCATCAAGACCTAGCAAGATCAACATCTCTACTTTATTTCCGAGCTGCAAACTCAAGGCCAACATCTGAAAATGCCTGCCTACTTGGACATCGCTCTTCAGGGCAGCATGAACGTGAAAGATCAGCACATTAGGTAAGCTCATGATATATTACACTGAAATACTTCAGGTCATAAGAGTTAAAAATTAATAAAACATGTGAGATGTTCATGATTGTCTTGTCTTGTTTTTCAGGTGTAAACTATCTCTGTTGGAGAGGAAGTGCAGCAGTGGTGTGGAGAAACTGAAGATAGTTATTGGAGAACACCTACAGAACGGGATCCCTACATCTCCCATATCTCCTATTCTGGAGAAAACGATATCCTTTTTCACTCCCAAGAAGGTCTTGCTGTCACCCACCGGCTATTCCAAATATTCCAGGGACATGCTGCGTCTCTTTCCCGCTTCAGAGGAGGACATTGTACCACTCTGCTTCGAACAATGAACTGAGAGATGCATGGACGTGGAGGTTGCCGTTCAGAGGTCATGGACCGTGCTGTGATTAACTGTGACCTTGGCTTAATGTATTCCCTTGTGATGCTGCTATAGACGTGGACTGCAACTGATTGGCAGACACTGGATCGCAACTGACAGAGAGACATAGCTAAATTAATAATATTTTTTGTCTAAAAGTACAATGATTTTGTGCAGCTTAGTTTTGTGTATATTGCAAATTCTCTAGAAATTATTTGGAAATGCATTGCATGCATTGTTATAAGCAGTTGTACTGCTCTATCCTTTCTCTGAGAAAGTCAACTTTGGATGAATTTGTTGATCTATGATACCTGAAAGAGAGCAGAGCTGGTTACTCTGATTGTAAACACTTGTCCTCAGAGTTTAAATTACAGAGTGCTGGCCACTCTTGTTATAAAGTAGAAGTGTTGAAAATATGACCATTGGTTTATCCCATTTTCTTAGGGTATGTGAGTCAATGTATAATTTGAACCCTGCTTTCCTTTATACTAAGGGGAAACGCTATGATTTTGATGTTAAAGCATATTGTTTGTTTTGTTTTCAATGACTTATTAATGGCTTCACACATACACAAATGTGCCTAATACACAAATATGCCTAAAGGGTTTTCAAATGTGGCTAACATGTTTCATTCAAAGACTCAATAAATATTTTGATAATATATTTCACTTGTCTTTTCATATTGTATTCAAAACACAGCTCACCATTGGCAAACCTCAGAGGGATGAGGAATATAGCATTACGCATGAAATCATTAGGTATATGCTATACGTTTATGTGTCTCATGGAGGAATGAATTGTTCTCTCAGATATGTGCTCCTGACAAGAAATGACAGAAAAACTCAATGATACACAATTCATACCCCTACAGTAGCCAACATCTGGTCAATTTTATCGCACAGAAAACATTCATTGGAGGATAAGAAACATAAAAGTGAATACACATACAGTCCAGGCCAGGTGTGTTAAAAAAAAACTGACATTGGAATTGACATTGACATTCATTTCTAAACATATTTTTTGCTAAACACTTACAATGCAGAACGTACTACCTGAACATAAGTAAATAACTTACTCTGATAGGGCATGAATAAACACACTATAATGTGCTTACCGTGTTATGCACCTTGAGCAGTTCCACATGCCACAGAAAACCTTTTACTGTCCAGCAAGCTTGTTAGCGGAAGTTGTTGAAGCATCAATGACTGTATATGGCTAAAACCACTATACCCACATAAGTACACATTTAGTCCTGACTTACTGCAATACAACTATTCTGTTAATACTGTATGTGTATTAGATGTACCAGATGTTGTTATGGCTAAAGTCAAGTCAGTAACAAGCTCAACTTTTGCACTAATTGGTTTTCTGATTCAAAATGCCATCAGTAATTAACTGGTTGTTGACATTTTGTTATACTATTGTGCCTAGCACACTTGCAGTTCAGTCATATTGAAATTGAGTAATATTTAATTAACAAGCTACTCACCAGGCACCTTTGGGAAATTGTAAAAAGAGACGAATTAGCTGAATAAGGCACACTTCTATTGTTCAAAGGTATTTCTGTCAATGGACAAAGTGTGGGAAAGCTCTGGCGAGCAGAGTCATAGTTCAGTGTCATTGAGAGCATCATTCCTTACATCAATATAACCATTGATAACTATGTCATTTTCCACAAAACACATATAGAGTATATTATTCTGTAATGTAGTCTGATATTTTATTTTTTACCTGAATAAAATTAAATAAATATATGATTGTGAAACAATATGGAAGGAACCTGTGGTAGGTTTTCCCTCCAGAATCCAGATGGTCTGTGATGTCATACACTGTCTATAGTACAACACAAAGCCAATAGCCATCACTAATGATCCACTGAGCAGCTTTTGTATTGCATTGATCACAGCACACAGGACTTAGTGTGGGAAACTCAGACTGACCAGCAGCCTCAAGACAGAGGACACATCTGCTACCTCCAGACTCCACTACTTCTGTCAGATCTTTGAATACACAGACACAAGATATACCAGGGGGTGAATGTCAACTTACTTACTACTATACAATATTATGTTTTAAAGGTGGCAATGTTCTTAAAGTCTCTGTTTCTAAAATGTAAATAAAAGTAATCAAATTATTATAGCTAGAACCTTATGTTAAAAATATGTATAAAACAATCTATAAAGGTCTATTCCATTTCCAAGAACCTAAATGCAACTGTAGGTTCTCTATTTTGAAACAATATTCACTTAGAAATGCAACCATCAAAAACACATCATTTTCATGTAGAGGCTCTGCGTCAGTCTCACACCTGTAAGTTATGCTGATGAGCATGTGCTCTGTCAGTATCATTGTGTCCAACATCCAGCCTGGTCTCATAGACTAGACACAACATAGGAAATGTAAATCAGGGACAATAGAACTTAGTATGATATGTTACGTTTGGTATGGTTACATAAGACATATGTTTACTTAGATGGTGGGTGGATGGGTGGGTGTACAGTACCAGTCCAAAGTTTGGACACACCTACTCATGCAAGGGTTTTTCTTTATTTTTAGTATTATCATTTAGCAGACGCTCTTATCCAGAGCGACTTACTTAGTTACTTTTTAGCTACTTTGCATCTACTTACTACCCTAACCGTAACACTTTTAGCTAACCTTTCCCCTTAGCCAAGGTAGCGTAGCAGTGCGGTCGTGTTCTCTTGTGTGTCCATGTAAATAGCCAGTTTTTTTTTGTATTTTACGTATATATTTCCCTATCACACTTTTCATCCTTCTACTAAATATACTTTCCTGCAACCCGCCTCACTCAATGTGGAACGGATTATATTATTTACTCACCTTTATCTAGAATCTCCAGTTGAAACTAGCCAGCCAGCTAGCTAACTAGCTAACTAGCTACTTGCTATTAGCCACCGTTAGCGGTTTTCACCCAGAACATCGGATTTCCTGCC